AGTGAGAGGCTTTGGCGGCAGGCGGAAGTGTAGGTGTAATACTGAGACTCCATTGGAAAAATCAAAATCTGCTTTCGCTTTCGCTACCGCTCAGAATTGTCCGATGATAGTTTGTTGACGTTAGATTTACAGTTAATAAAAATTTGTAACCTCCAATTTGTGTGTAAAAAACACAGTGTAGCCATAAACATTAAATCGATATTCTCACTGATGTTGCTATAATGACCCCTTCCCAAAAAAAGGGAGAAAAAGAAAGCACGGGTCCTCCAATTTCTAGATTGTCGGGCCCGTCATCGTGACCGGTCAATGAACCTGTGAGAGTTCGTGAGTACGGCATGAGCAAGGGAACATTCGGTGGTTGTTGGGAAAAGCCTAATCAAAGTTCATTCAAAGTAGGAGTGTTGCAGGGCGTCGGAATTGAGGGGAAGTGTTTGATGCGATAAAGTCTACGGCAGCAGGAAAAGGCCGCGGTGCTAGAAACTGATGCTAAAATAAAAACGATACATAGAAGAAGTGGTTTTGACATTCGACAATCGAGTGTGTAAATGAGGGAACATTAGAGCACAAGCTTGATGATTGTATCTTCAAGGTTGGTGTTCCCGGATCTGTCGGATTTGTCAGTGGTGACAAATTGAATAGTGGCAATAAGGAAATGCCATTTTCAACCCTCAGAAAGCTCTATGTTGGATGCCTATGCATCATGATGGCTTGTTGCTGATTAAATACTGTCAAACCTGCCCTGACGGCCACCTCTATAAGAGGGCCACCTGTATAAACGGCCACTTTCCATTGCCCCCCCTTGCGTTTTTTCTATATAATTTAACTGTGTAAAACGGGCACCTGTCCAACGCGGTCGCGGCCACCTTATTTTAACACACAACCCCTATCACACTAAGCAATAACACCTGTCTTAGACGGCCACCTTAGTGACTCCATTCCGTTTTGTCATAAATTGTGCATTGTCCCCTGGCGTTGTGGGCGAGCCGTCATAATCCAATCACCTGTCGTTGTTGTTAGGTAGTCCCTCCAACCGATCATGTTGCGTAGGCCCCTCCCACTGTTGACCAATAGGTACCAATTCTCAGCTGCTGGTGAGGTAAGCGTGTGATCCCTCATAAACCATAAGCCCTGCCCAGAACTCACAAATCGTAAGTGAGATGAGTGGTCACTGTTTACCCAGTCTGTAACAAAGTAACAAAGGACGTCAACATGAACTTGTGACAGAAGCGCCGCTCTTTCTCCGAGTGGTGGCGACCCATATGTTTGTTTTAACATGGCACTCCATCTGATACATTTCGTTTTATTGTCACCCTTGCGCAAAATGAGCAACAAAATACAAATTACAAACAAAATGCAAACCAATTACAACAACAACAACAACAACAAAAACAACAATGCTGCTACTTTCGATTGGGACCTCAGATGGGAATGGTTTGTTTTCTTCATCTTGATCAGTCCTGCCTAAGACGGCCACCTGTCTTATACGGCCACTTTTCTCCTTGACAATGGGTGGCCGTCTTACACAGGTTTGACTGTACTGGTACTGTGATTTAGCAGTTTGAAAAAAATCAATACTTAGTCCATGATGCAGTGGTTCACTGATTGCCACGTTTTCAGCCTCACTACATCCCACACTCTCACAGTCCTTCCAGCTCCGGCTCTATCGGTACACACTCTCTTTTATTTTCACTTTTTGCTCTGGCGTGAGCCTAACTATAAAGCTTTTATAAATGAGTTTTGTTTTGCATGCTTTTTAAAATCCGTGATTGCTGAAACCAAACATGGTTTTGGCAGTTGATGTTCTTCTTGCCTGTCCTCAGGCCCAGATCAGGATTCATTTTGTATTTTTAGGGTAAAACTAGTTAAAATTAATTGTGTGTCATACCTAAGTCACGAAGGACTTATCTGTGTCCTATGCTAGTGTCGGGAAAATTATGTTTTAATTTAGTTTCTATTGGTATGGGCTAGGGGTTTTGAAGTCAGTTTGGCAATCACCCTGCACTCAATAACAGATTCAATACTGAATGATAGGTGCCTTGAACGATAGTCCATAAAATGATTTTAAAAAACCAAAAAACAACCTCGCCCCATTTCATACACACTGTTCATCGTAACTTGTGCACACCCATACACCCCCTTCCTTCCCCACGCACATATGGGCATATACGAGAGCATGGCAACATGCACACACACACACACACACACACACACACACACACACACACACACACACACACACACACACACACACACACACACACATGTGCATGCACAAACAAGTTTTCAAAATATAATTAGCCAATATCACGGAAAGCAAGCGCGTTCGATGGGGCAACAATCATCTTTTTTTCTTTCTTTGTCTTTGTACTACCTGATTTTGGGCCAATCTACATGAAAATGACCCTGAATCTACCTGAAATGGGAATTTTGAGGTAGGCAGCCCTGCTGCGCCTTAAAAAAAGTCTTGGGTGATCTGCTCCAGGGTCTTTACTATGGCAACTCTCTCTGCGTCATAGTTGGAGCTGTATGTTCCACTTTGGCCAAATAGTTGGGTCTGCTTCTTCTCTCCAAGGTTGTTTTGATATTTGATGATGGGTCCGTATCCAGCATTCTGTATAGCGTCTTTTGCTGACCCATCTGTGTATGTATGAATTGGAGTTTCAGCATACAAGTCTACTGTCTCCAGGGCACTAGTTCTGAGGATTTCTTCTGGTGTGGTCTTGTCTCAAGAAGGGTCTAGAAGTCTCGTCCTTATTGTGATTGCTAGTGCCTGCCAATAAGGAGGTTCGCTGCTGATGTAACATCAGATGTTGGTGATTGGTTCTCTGTTCTCGGGTTATTCAAACTCTTCAAGTAGTTTTGTTGCTTCTTGCTTGAAGGAGGTCTTCTGGATGCGTGTTCTTGGTTCCCACTCATCTGTCATTTTTCTGTTTTGTTCGTGTCTTTTAGTAGCACAAATCTTTTGTAGGTTTCCAGAATACCACTCTTCTGAGGTCCAGTGGTTCTATGTTGGTGTGGATTTCGGAGGCGCTTGTAGGCGTGGTCTTCATCGCATCAGAAACAAATCTGAGTGCTTGGTTCTGTACTCTGTCAAGCTGTGCCAAAGAGCTTTGGTTGGCTATGGATTGTAGTGGTAGCAAGTAGTCAATCACAGATCTGACATCCTATACAAAATTGTTGGAGGGTTGCTTTGTCAGCTCCCCAGTTGAGTGATGAAAGGTGTTTCAGAAGGTTTAGTCTGGAGGTGGATTTCTTGGTCAGCTCGCCTAAGTGCTCTTTGAGAGACAGCTTTCGGTCCAGTTGTACACAAGATACTTGGAATAGTCCTCATGTTTGATGTTGGTTCCATTGATCTTCAGGTTTACCTGACCTGCTGTAACCTTGTTTTTGAGGTTGAAGAGTCCAAAAACAGTCCTGTCTGTGTTGATCTCCATCTTCCATAGCTGGCAGTAGGACGAGGTAGTAGTCAGGTCTGTGTTGATGGCTTTGTTCAGTGTTCTCATATCACTTCCTTTGCTCTAGATGAGCAAGTCATCAGCGTAGAGTTCTTTCTGGCAGGAGATGACATCTGGCAAGTCGTTCATGAACAACAACAGGAAGAGGGTACAGCTGTGGGAGGCCTTCCTCGAGTGTCCTCTGTGAAGAAATCTTGCTGTCACATGATGTCTGGATAGTTCTGCTAGACAGAAAGTTTTTGATCCAGCTGTACATCCTTCCTGCTTTCCCAAGCTTTTGCATTTTGTAGAACAGTCCCCAGACATGCCACTCATCCCGATTTCATCGGGATCGGGATATCCCGATTTTTTTCCCCAAATCTCAAACATTCCGTTTCGATCGCCAGTATCCTGATTTTTTTGTCGTTGCATCTGTTGCGTCCGATTCTTAGAAAAAAAAGTATAAAAAGTTCTGCAATCTCTTTTGCTTGGAAGCACCAATTAGACTTTTTATCGGCAGGAACTTGGAACGCAATTTTCTAAAGCATCTATACCGAATCTAGTAGTTGACTCACGCACGTTATTTCAACTAAAATCGGCGTAGTATCGATTTTCAATTCCCACTTGAATACGCTCAAGATCTACGTTCGCTTTTATTTTTGGTATATGACAATACATATCAGAGTGACTTACAGCTTCACAGTAATGCATTAAATAGATGCACCCCAGGTCTAAAACTGAACAAGGAAAAATAATTCTGTCCAGAGCCTGAAAAAATCATGGATGGAATCAGTTAAAGTGCTCACTATGGTTCACTGTCTCATGTTCATATCCTATGCTTGAAATTGAAGAATTTCCTTTCCAGGAGTCAGAAATTATAATACAGTCGAACCTGTGTAAGACGAAATCGCAAGGAAGCCAGGAAAAAAAGAAATTCCGTCTTAGACGTTTTTTAAATAAGGGAACTAAAAAGCTTTATTTTGTTATTAGCTGATTAATGCCTGACCTTAACGTAGGGCTACATTGCTTTGCCCACCCTAACTAAGTCTCATCGTAATCTCAAGGATCTCAAAACTTACAAAGCCACAAAAGTCACTGTTTACAACTGTTATTTTGTATTTGGGATTTATTTGCAGTCTTCTGTGGGTTGTATTAGGCTGTTGGTAGGTTACAGGCATGATCTATTCTCAGTATATTTCAAAATCGTGTTCTAAAAGATTATGTCACATCTTGGTTTTTTGTTGTTGTTGTTAGCACAGGGCCTACTCGTTGAAAAGCATTCAAAATATATAAGATGCACAGCAAATATGGGAACATTGTACTTTCAACATCTATTTTTTTTTGGGGGGGGGTAGGGGGTGATGTCATAAAATACTGAACTGCATGCCGTGATCTCAAGTTTAGTATTAGATTCACCTTAAATTTAATCCAAATTCTGATCCTCAGAATTTTATTCTTACTTAGAGGCTTGAAGACACCCAAATTCCTTTTTCTCCCACGACTGCCATCTCACAAAAAAATTCTATGTAAGATGTCTTAAGATCAATATTTTGCTTTGTTTTTCAGACTCATCTATTACAATGGATGGAGATAACAGTGACCGAACCAGAGAAGAAGACCATTGCATCTATGAAGATGCAAGACACGTTTGTTGTATACCTGATAGAAACAAGGTAACATTAAATTAGCCATTTCATTGTTCAAAAAAGTGCATTGTTCCATTGCAGATAGTATTGATATTTTGCAGTCTCATTTTGATAATGGGTACTATACTCTGCCAGTGTTTAGTATGTCTACATCTGCAACTGATTCTGATTTAGAGGCTTTGGGCCATGATTTTTTTTTCCTATGGTCAACTTAGGACTGCTTCATTTCCGAAAAATTTCCAGAAATGGTGAAAATATGGAATGTTACAGACTTTGTGCACTTTCCGAGGAAACTATTTGTAGCTCTCTTTTTGTGTGCGATATGGTCATTTCTTTTTCATAACAATTTGTGAGGCAGCGTGGTGAAATCTGGCTCTCGTCAAAATAATGAAATTGAAGAAACTGGCATTTTCAGGCCAGTTTGGCTATTTTTATCAAATTTTTTTTTAGCCAAACATCTTTATGTTCATTGAAGAACACATTTCTTTATGGATTTTACATAAATTTTTTTTGTTAAAGGCACAAAAAATGTGAGTTTTCAGTTACCAGGGGCTCTCTCAAGCATTGGAAATAACCGAACTTTGGCGGCCATTTTCTCGCTAATTGAACCTCTGAAACAAGGCGATCTGCTCCTCCTTCTAATGCGGATATCTTAACTTCTATTCAAGATGAATGGGTATTTTTCTCATTGAAGGCAAGACAAATGAACAAGCTTCAAGATGATACGAATAACTTGACATGCTCCGAAACTGACGAGGGCCTGATTCCACAGCGTTGTGACACATTTGATGTTAAGGGGATGGAAGTTTTATTGGCGACTGGGTTTGTCTCGGTTTAAGAAAAAATAATAATTGTCTTCTCAGGGTGACTGACGAGAATATGCAGGGATATGGCGAGGGTGCCACCTCCGTTTGGCGTCGCTATAGCGAGTTTGAATTGCTGCGTAATTACCTTGATGTGACCTTCCCAGCTGTGATTGTACCACCACTGCCTGAGAAAAAGGTTTGTTTTTATTTTTAGTCTAGTCTTCGATGTTGGTGACTTGTGGGTCAGGTCAAATGAGGTCTGTTTAGAAATGTTGATCTGCCCCTTCACTTTTTTTGCGATGATGTCTACGCATTATCCAACCCACTTAAAATTTTACGTTTTTTCTTGTCACTCATCCAACTTATTGGCTTTTTTAGACCAAATGCTACTTCATAGCTGCCCACTGTCCCGGGCCATCCATATTTTGTACGGATTTTCTTGAAAAATCGTTGTTGTCCCGGAAATACGGATTTTTACCGACGGTCCCGGAAAATAAAAACTTGGCAAGCATACTTCTAAAACAGAAAAATTAGCCTTCTGTTGTTCGGGAAAATGACGAAAATTCGGGAGATTCCCAAAAAATTCCGGAGAGTTGGCAGGTATGCAGTTTCGACAAAGTCAGCTGATACGCATGCGCGGCGCTCGGCTTCTTCATTCGTTTGAAAAGATGGCGTCAAAACGTTCGGTGAAGAGTTCTAAGTCCGACTCTAGACCAAGTAAAGCAAAGAAACCGAAAAGGCAGCAAGTTTTTCTTGACAAATACAAGGTGTCCCTGATAATTAGTCAATGTCCCTGATTTTGAGCAAGGCTGACCCTGATAGCCACAGAGAGGGGTGGGCAGCTATGCTACTTATTGGAAATGTGCTCTGCCATATGGGTAATTCATTTTTGGCCATGATCAAGTGTTTTTTTTAGGGATCTAGATCTATATATAAAAAACAAATTGTCTCTATTTTCAAATCTAAATTCCCCCAAACTGTCCAAATCTGAAGAAGGTAGAATAGTCTCAGAGTCTAGTGGGTATACAGAAGAGGTTGCTTGTTGTGTGGATTCAGTCCCAATATTTCAACTTTTCTTTTTAAGGCATTTCTGTAAGTATCGCGATAGGACTATGCATTAGTTCATTGATACGCAGTGTGACTTATGGATTAAAAAGATTGCTGTTTTAGTCTTGTATGTTGTGTAACCCCTGATGTTTCAGATGATTTTTTATAAGGTCTTGCTACCTCCTCCTGTCCTCTCCCATCCTTCCAGAGGGGCTGAATGACTCCCTCTAGACCTTTCTGGAATATTTCGTCTTAGTTCAGAGCCCTTTCGAGAGACAAAGCAGATTGATTTTGGCAAAAGAGACTGCTTTTCTTTTTCTTCTTTTCATTTTCCTGTTAGAGGTCAGGGAGTAAATGGCTGTAAGATGATCATCTTTAACAGTGCATTTGATTTTTCCAACATGCTTTATGTTTTATCTATAGAAACTGCCTTTTGAAATGATTTATTTTTATGTATTGTAATATAAGGGATGTCCAGAAAGTAAGTACCGTTATAAAATAATTATAAAACAAATAATTTTCTCAATCAAAACGATTTATTTTTGAATATCTCATATATAGGACTACTTCTCCACGTTGTCACCAGAACTGTTAAGGCATTTGTCGTATCGTGGGACAAGCTTCTGAATGTCCACATCGTAGAAAGCTGCTGCCTGCGATGTCAGCCAAAGTCCAGTCTCTCCTGTGAGATCACCGTCTGAGTCGAAGTTTTGCCCGGCCAAAAACTTTTTCGAATGCAGGAACACATGATAGTCACTCCGAGCCAGGTGTGGGCTGTACGATGGGTGCTTCAAGGAGGCGATATTGTTTTGGGTCTGTGCAAACTTGTGAGGAGTTGCGTTGTCGTGAAGCAGAACTACGCTGTCGCTAAGCATTCCGCGTCATTTGTTTTGAATTGCTCTACGCTGTTTTTTAAGTGTGTTGCAGTACACATCAGAGTTAATTGTCATCCCATTTCCCCAAAATTCTACTAAAAGAACTCCTTGCCCGTCCCGAAACACTGTACACATGACTTCGACTCAGACGCTGATCTCACAGGAGAGACTGGACATTGGCTGACATCGCAGGCGGCAGCTTTCTACGATGAGGGCATTCAGGAGCTTGTCCCACGCTATGACAAATGCCTGAACAGTTCTGGTGACTACGTGGAGAAGTAGTCATATATATATATGAGGTATTCAAAAAGAAATCCTTTTGATTAGGAAAATTATTTCTTTTATGATTATTTTATAACGGTACTTACTTTCTGAACGTCCCTCGTAGTTTTAGTTACATTTCCATAATAACAAGATGAAGGAGTAATACCAGGTGAAAGTATATTTAGAGCATGTCTGGACCTGATTCTCTTCAACTATTCCCTCCTGGCCAGGCTACCTATGCATGGCAGAATGTATCCATGGACCGTTTTGACCCAGACTTTATTGAGAGGAGGCGAGCAGGGTTAGAGGTAAGTTTGACATTTTGTGGTAAGAATTAATGAATCGGAAAGTTTTAAAATGTATGAGTATTAATGGGTTCAGTGTCTGATGTTGGAAGTGTGTTTTATGCCCCCATTGACTCAATTGAAAAGGGGGTTGGGTGGGGGGGGGGGGGGGGGGAGGGGGCTACTTCAACCTATCAAGGCCAATCTGGACTGAATGGGATACAGCATCCCAGCAAATTGATTCTCCATAAAACACTTCACCACAAGAATATCAAATCACTCCTACTGCGATGTGTGCAACGGCAAGAAGTTTATCCATTACAACACCACAGACAGTGGTATTTAGAGTTTGCAGGTGGTGAAATATAAAAGTGTTAATCAATAATAGTTGAATGTCTGAAAGTTATGAAATGTAAGAGAAGAAACAGTTTCATGGAAGGTAATGAAGCACAGGAATAGTTATAGTTTAACTTTTGAATGTTTTGAAATGAAGAGTAGTTCTCGTTTCAGGAGGAGATATATATATATATTATTATAAAAAGTAATAATAAGCAAGATTTCTTTGGGGAACAGATTTACAATGCTCATGGTTGGTGGAGTTATTGAATGGATATAAATGAACAACAAGAAGGAGACTTAGACTTGTGGATCCTATTTAGAAGGATAGTGAATTGAGTTTTATTTCAGTTTCATGGCCTTTTATTTTTGTGTTGCAGGCTGAGAGAAGATAAAATTCCTCTAGCAATAGACTTGAACTTGTTCTAACAGATACCTTTCCAAGACAATTGTGTGTACAAATGACTTCGTTCAGACTTCACCTGTTGCAATTTGTTTGATATTACAATGACAATGTCCAAGACATCCACCTTTCTAAGACAATTGCTGTTCTACTCCACAATGAATGGATGATCATCAAGAACAATTTCGACTGTACCTCTATGACCTAGCACTGCAACCTTAGAGATAATAAGTAATAGAAGCAGTTCAGATTTCCTTTCTACTGGGAAGTCTTTAAGAAAAAATCTTTCTGTTTGTTGCATGTATCTTTTAACATTGCTTTTTCATTGGCAGATAAAGTGGTCCTGGTATGTTCAGATTTTGTGGTGCTTGTGTTAACGCAGTAAAAGTTGGGAGACGATTAGGTATTTGCTGTCGTCAGTCACGCATGGAGAACAAAATTAATAATTTGATGTGGGTTATTGTTAATGGGTAATTTTCACTTTTATTTTCAGTAATAAAGACATCTATAATTTGCAGTTTTAAAGCCACTCCTGTTTAATGGTTCATGTTCTTTTTTTTTTTCTTCTTCTCAGATTTTTCTCCTGCGATGTGCAGCACATCCTAGACTTTGCCAAGACAAAATTTTCATGGGTTTCCTTCAGCAGGTAGAGCAAAGACTCTCACAACTCCAAACATGACTCGTTCAGAGTTTAAGACGCTTTTTATCTGTACTTTTCTCTGCCCTCTCTGCATACTGCTTCTTTTCTTCTTCCTTTTGCCTGTCTTTTGCCTTCTCCTCCTCCTCATTATCATCATCATCTTCCTCCTCCTCCTCCTCCTCCTCCTCCTCCTCCTTCTTTACTACCATCTCTTCCTCCACCTCATTCTTATCTTTGTCTGCATTTTCCTTCTTTTCATCATCCTCGTTCTTGTTTGCCTCCTCCACTTCCATCTCCATCTTATCATTCTCCTCCTTCTTTTTTTCCTCCACAGCATTCATCTGCTGGGTTTCAGGGGTTTACCACTCACAGTTAGTTTTTCAGATGTGTTACAAGAGTCTGTATTTATTCTACCACAAACAAGATAAAACATAAGTTTAACTTTTGACTCAAATTGTCATCTTTACTGTACCATATGGAAGACTTGGACAACGACAGTTATCTTTTTACCCATTTCATCAGCATCATTCCACACTAGCTGAAGTTAATTTCTGGAAGGTTCCAGATAAAGCCATTATTCCAACAAAGACGTCTAGGGGCATCTTACAATATAGTTTCGATATTCCCTTCTTATTTCTTAAAATGGAAAACACAAGTCAGTGATCTGATGTAGGTGATTTGCTATTCTTTAATTTTCTCAAAACCTTAAAAAATGGCGTTGCTCTTGTTGAATGACTTTGACGATTTTCTTATTTGAAACAGGAGCAGGGATGGAGAGACACAGTCAACGCGACTGATTTCTACAGTAAGGTAGGAACACTTGAATATTTGTTAACTCGTTCCACGTATGCCCATATTGAATTCAACAAAAAAGGTATTTTTTAAATGTAAACCCCATAAAATACTTCTAGAGAGAGTCAATCCTTTGTGACCCATTTATTTTTTGAGTTATGATCTCAGTACGTCTAATTTCTGAGTAACACAGTGACTGGAAGTTCTAGTAGTCTTATGAGATCCAGATGTATTGCGTGTTATTGGAGTCTTCAATGTAGTTCTTGTTTGTCGAAGAACTACATCCACTACTTAACTTTTCTGTGTGCTAGTCTGATGAGATGCCCGTGGGTTTAGCAAATTCTCGTTGATAAGGCGTTACTGACTGTTTTGTGCACCTGTGCAAGATAGCAATACAGCAATACCCCTGTTTTATTACAACAGAGGAATGCAATAAAGGACAAAAGTAAGGTTGTTACATTAGCATTGTGATGTATGTTTCCTGGGACACTTGATATTTGTTTCTTGCAGATTTACGTAATTTGAAGTTGTTTTTTAAAACTGATTTTTTCTTCTTCTTTTTTTGCAGGCAGAGTCTCGATTAAAGGCCCTAAATGCTCAGTTCAGATTGAAGAAGTCGGACAGGTATGTCTTCTTGCCTTGATCACTGTTTTCTCTTCTTTTTTTTTTTGTTTAAGGGATGTTGGAACATCTTTCAGATGTGAGGGAGAATTTTTCCCATCATGTTCAGTCCTGCTAATAGGGGCTCTTCTTTTTCTTCTTAATTTGCTAGTTATATCAGTCATCCTTGCGGGTGGTTAGAGTTTACCTGTTGGTAGGTCAAATTTCTTAATTTCCCCTCTTTTATTTCTGTATGTCTTTCTTGCTTTTTTCCCGGCACTGAATGACATTTATTGTGTTGATGTGCTTGGCTGTAGTCAATCTCAGACTCTCATCCTTCTTTCTTTGTATTTTACCAGGAGGTTTGAGGAGCTGAAGAACTACTGTACTGAGCTGCAGAGCAACATTGGGAACATTTTGAAGATCAGAGCTGTGAGTAGAGTCTAGATTGGTGTTGCTTTTTGTCTCCAATTGTCACAATATGTGTTTTTTTTCCTCTTCAAATGTGTCACGACGCAGTGGAATCTGGCGCTCGTCAATTTCTTGGGCATGTGGAGTTAATGGTATCATCTAAAAGCTTATTCATTTGCCTTGCTTTCAAGGGAAAAAAAATACCTATCTATCTTGAATAGAAGTCAAGATATTTGCAATTGAAGAAGGTGGGGTCACCGAAATTCACTGATATAAGTCGCGAGAAAATGGCTGGCAAAGTTTGGTTACTTCAATTGCTTGAGAGTTCTTTAAAACTGAAAAATTGCATATTTTGTGCCTTAAATCAACTTTTTTTCTGTCAAATTTACATAGAAATGTATTTTTATATAAATATAAAGGTGTTGAGCCAAAAAACAAACATTAGAAAAAAAATGTCAAACTGGACGAAAAATACACATATTTTCGATTTAATTATTTTGACGAGCACCTGATTTCACCTAAAATTAGCGAGAAAATAGCCGCCAAAGTTTGCCAACTTCCATAGCTTGAGAGGCCTTCGAAACTAAAAATTTACATTTTTTGTGCATTTAATTATTGTATTTCAGTAAAATCCACTCAGAAACATGTTTTTAAATGAACGTATAAGGTGTTGAGTCAATAAAGGAAAATAAGAACAAAACTGCCAGATGGCCAGAAAAATGCCAGTTTCTTTGATTTCAATGTTTTGACGAGCGCCTGAATTCACGACACTGCCTCACATATTATCATGGTCTTTTCTCATCATCCGTCTGTCCAAGTACTATAAGTCAATTATTCTGGAAGTATGTGATAGATTTTATCATCCACTTTCAGACCCTATAATTTTCGTAATCTTTTTGCTCTTGCCGGAAGATGCTTTGACCAAGCCCATATTTTTGTCACTGGATAACGCATAGCTTAAACATGGGGAAAAGAAATGTTTACATGAATGAAGCACAAATTGATTTAAATCTCAAGGGGGCTTCATGACAGTAAACTTTATACTCTTCAATGCTGCACACAGACAACATGAGTCCTGTGTGGTGTTTGGGGGGGGGGGGGGGGGTGTTCTGGCTGTAAGGAGGTGATGTCCCTCTCAGCTATAGTCAAAACAGCCCTCCTCCTAAATGATCTAAATTCTATGGATGGGGACGTAAGACATTAACAGTCGCTGTTTTCATTACCGCACAGCGCCTGTGTGACAAGTTGTACGGCATCCACAAAGTACACAGCAACTACGCACGTGTCTTCAATGAGTGGAGCGCGCTGGACAAGGATATAGCGGAGCACCTGCAGAGTGCCAGTCACTACATGGATGTGTAAGATCTGGTCACTGTTGTGTGAGACTGTGCTTCTTTTTACCACGACTGCCCATTGTTACGAATGGGGGAATATTTACCATTTTTACTCAGTTTTATGAAAATACCATAGTAATACCCTTGATTCCGGGTTTTTTCAAACTTGTGGCTACCCCAACCCACTGCCAACCTTCCCAGTGTAAAAGTGAAGAAAAACTACCAAACCTAGATGGTCTGACGTCTCTTGCAGATCTAACTTAAAAACACCATCTCTGCTTTGAGTCCTTGTAGTCGCCCAGGGCCGCTTTGATCTCAGAAATGAGACTTCAGAAGTGCTAAAGCCATTTTACGAATTCTGAAGCCTGATTACTAAATTTGTATTTATTGATTACTAAAACATATACCGGTGGGTGAGCAGCCTTGCTTTACTGGTACAAACTGTGTAATTTTTCGTTGTAGTTTGTTAGTAAGTGCTGATATGTTTTGTTTTTACTGCTGTCCTTGCACGTATATGATTAATGTGTGGTTGTGAAAGTTCCTCTTTATGGGGTTGAACTAGTTTTCTTGTTTAGATGTGAAATACTTTATCTTGTGTGAATGAAGTGTTATGTTCAGTGATCATGTGAATGATGTAAAGCGCTCAGAGCTTATTCTCGTATTGGATAGAGCGCTATATGAATGCAATTATTATTATCATTAAAAATCTGTATAAATAGAAAGTTCCAACAATCTTGCTCTGGCAAGGGTTTAGGAAACATTCAGATACAGTGCAAACTGAGTGCTGGTGTCTATGGTGTAGTGGTTATACTCTTAACCTATGCATGCAAACTTCTTGAGTTGGATTCCCATGTGGGGAGCTCCGTTAATCAAATATACGTGTTTGCTTGTCTGTTGGGATGTTGTACCCCTCTCAGCCCACGAGTTGGTCCTAACAGGTAGGGTGGAAGCAGTCCACCTCCTAATTGATCTAAAATTGTTTTAATGGGGCTGGGGTGCTTAATACATGAATGCATTTACGAGTCTGCACAATTGGAGTTTTAGAAAGATTTGGGCACAGTGCGAAGTGAATTATTTTCAGCTGGTTGCTGTTTTGTCTATTGATGCTCAGCTTGTTTTGTTTTGTCTATTGATGCCCAGCTTGTTTTGTTTTGTCTATTGATGCTCAGCTTGTTTTGTTTTGTTTATTGATGCTCAGCTTGTTTTGTTTTGTCTATTGATGCACAGCTTGTTTTGTTTTGTTTATTGATGCCCAGCTTGCTGTTTTGTTTTGTTTTGTTCAGGTTTGCTACATCCATTGATGCTCAGCTGGAGGAGGAGGAGCAGTACGCAGACCAGCTGAAGGAATATTACGCTTTTGGAGACTCTGTCAGGTGAGTTTGTGTGTGTGTCTGTCTGTCTGTCTGTCTGTCTGTCTGTCTGTCTGTCTGTCTGTCTGTCTGTCTGCTTGTGTGAGAAAGAGGGAGAAGGAGATGTGTATGTGTAGGGAGAGGGGAGAGTGGTATGCAGACCAGCTCAAGGAATATATGCTATTGGAGACAGCTGATAATAATCTGGATGACGATGACATTAAGGGTGGTGAATGTGATGATAGCGAAAAGGCAGCTATGGAGGGGGGAGGATTTGAGAATGTTGATGTCGAAGACGCAGTGGTTTTGTTTGCATGTTTGTGATTTTTGTTTCTTGGTCCTGCTTCATTTGGTGATTTGCAGTAAGAATAAAATAGAAGAAACAGAAATGTGGTTTCTTAGGAGATTGTTGAGAATTTCATGGAAGGAAGAGAACTCCAACGAGGAAGTACTGGAACCGTAAATGACAAAAAAACGGCAGGGTGGACCCAGAACAGAAGGGGATGTAGAGAAAAGATGAATGTAAGTTTTGAACTCCCTTTCTTAACGGGGCTCGCGGCTCGATTTCAGCCCGTTTTATGTTGTTTTTCTTGTAAAATATCGAAATTGAGGTTTTGGCATATTCTGAAAGTTGAATCATTCTACTTTACAGCGGTATTGGTCGTAATGCTGAAAAATGCCATAAAGGTGTCTTTTATTAGTATTTTAGGAGACACCCTATCCCAAAAATTTTGTCTGTAAGGCGAAATGTTGAAAAGAACTCACAAAAGAGCAACGTTTGAACCATAGCAACGAGCTTACCATCAAAGCCAAACATGGTCGTGTTGTATACCACTGGAAAGATTACAATTTCATTTTTTCAACAGTATTCGAATCAGTCACCTGAGTCGATTACAGTGTTGACCAGAAGCATTCAGATAGGAACACGAGTGCAAAAAAATATTTGATGTGGTTGGTCGATATCGACTGCTGCATGAATTGCCACAGTGTAGGTCTTTTCCGGAAAATGGAAACACATTTCGGAAATAACTAAAAACTATGTTTTTGGGTTTCTTTAGGGGTATTTTCATTTAAAAAATATTAGTTCAATGATAAATATAGATAGAAAGTACATTTGGTTGAAATATCGATTGTTTTATGGAAAACAGTAAACTGCTATGAAAAAGATAAAAAAGAGGAACAGGAGGGTGTTATCTACTCCTTTTTAATTGTTAAGGTAGGTTCAGAACATTCATTGGTATGAATTATTTGGCTACCAACCACTTTACATAGCATGTGGCATATCAGCTAACAAGTGTAAATTTTAACGTCATTTTTCTCAAAACTTCATTTTTCAGGTCTTTTTCAAGAGTTGGGCTAGCTGATCCATTTCTACAAATAAGGAGGGATTAACAGTTTTTGTATATGTCTTACTTTTTTTTTTTAACATCTTGATATTTAGAAGTGGGTGGGTGTATTTTCTTATAAAAATATATGGTTCATTTTGATGGCTTTACCAAAAAAGGATAAATTAGACAATCAAAGGTTCTATCTATGTACAACTATGTCTCTAGAAGACATTTCAAGCGGAAAAATGACCAAAGAGTGAAAATTATAGGAATGGTGATGTACCAAAAAATGTTTGTATTTTTTTTTTCAAGATGGCTGTCGTCTCCATGGTAACAAATAGGTCTGGCAAAACAATGCATGGTTGAATCGGAATATTTTCACCCAATGTTACTACGGTTGATAATAGTATTTTTAAAAAAAGGATGGATTAAAAAACATGTCGAAAAAATGTCGAGCCCCCTTAAAACAAGTTAAAAATGTGTTTCACACATGATGTCATGGTGACCCGAAGGGGCCTCATGGAGAGTGAAGGTAGTGCAAACTGGGTCAAACAAGGTCAAATAAGTTTCAAATGAGTGTCTGTAGGGGGACACCCGTGTGGTTCCCGGGGCCCTGGCGAAGAGACTGGGGAGCAAAGAATAGGATCACTGTATCCGTACCGCGCATGTTGTAGAAGGCGACTAAGGTCGGTTGGACAAAGGGTTAGCAGCCCTTTACCGTAAAACAAAAACAGCTACAAAACATCAACAACAAAAACTACACAACCGCCAGTTCTGGAAGATGGAGGACCTTCATCACCGAAGAGAGGAGAGAAAATGGAATGTAGAATGACGCAGGGTGGTGAAAGCTGAAAGGAAGCCACCAATCCGAGAAACCTCCTGTCGACCAGAAGAAGGAAGACCAAAGATGACATGGAGGCGAGTGGTACATGTGGAAATGGAAAAGGCGGGAACATCATGGAAACAGCTAGAAAAGGATGCAGAGGACAGGCTTTGCTGGAAAAATATTTTTGATGGCCTATGCTCCACTGGGAGTTAAAAAGGGAAAGAGAGAGAGAGTGTGAGGGGGGATTTAAGGTTGACTTTTACAGAAAGAATGTCACTGTCTTCTTCTGTCCAGGTCGGTGTGTCGTCGGTACGAGTGTACCCAGTACGATCTGGAGAAGGCAGAGGACAATCTGGCTGCCAAACAAGGTCAAAGAGAAGCTCTGGTGAGTTAGACAGTTTCAGCTAATGGTCCTTTGTTTCCCACGTATCTGTTTCTGTTCCTCTACCTGGATGCAGTTGTTGGGGCAAGGAGTAAGTCGGGAGGTGGTCTATACTTTTCTAGCACCATAATAATGTCATAAATGTGTCAAAATTTGAAACGCCTCTTTGATGATGTTCTCATCAGACTTGTTAATATTCTAGAACATTTTCCCACTACTCTTTTTTCTTAATTTACTCATGTCATAAGCTCACACTCCCTAACATGTACACACGTACACACACATACACACACACACCCACACACACACACATGTTTTTTAATTTTATCCTGGTAAAACACTCAGAGTATGCAACTGGCTGGAGGTGTCATTGGTAGGTCTTACTTCTTTACTTTCTCTCTGTAGTTTCTGTCTATCTCTCTTCTTCTTTCTTAGTATTAAATAATGGTTTTAGTGTGGATATACTTCTTCACAGTCTCCTAAAAATTCAAGGGTTCAAGTTTTCAGAATTGTTTTGTTTATCTCCCCTTACTGCTGCGCCATGCAGAAGCAGGCCATGGCCGAGAGTCCCAGTTCAGAGGAGGTAACTCCTGGCCCCTTGTTTACCCACGTCATAAACCCCCTCTCCCTACCCCCCTCCCTCACGTGCATGATCTATGTAACGTCTTGTGTTTCGTGGTTCTGCTTTTAAGACACTTGAAAAAAATCGGTGTGTGGATTTTTGTATTATGTTTTGCTGTTGAGTATTTGTTAACAGAAATGATAAATGCAGTGCCTGGAGCACTTGAACCAAAATAGAGGCCTTGAACACATAACCTTCTCTGGGAAAACAGAAGAGAATGGAGACAGGGGTGGACAAAGAATAACATACCTGGATGATAGAAGTTTTTTGACAGCATCTGAGAAGAGGGTCAAGTGGCGAACCATGATCGCTGATGGTCTTTGACAAAGAAGAAGAATCAGTGGATGCCCTCTTTTTTTTAAATTTTAAAGGTGACCCCACATTTTCATTATAACCCTCCTTTGAGTTCTTGTTTTGTGAAAGTAGGGAAATCCTTAAAAAAATGGGACTGGAACTGCGCATGAAAGTTTAGAGTGGTGAACATTTTTAACCACATTCATGTTCTTTATTTGTTGGGGTATTAATGATACAAACATAAAATTTTCATAAAGGAAAAAAAAATTTCAATGTACATTGACGCTGTTAGGAAACTTGGTTTACTACAGCATCAAACTTATAATGTAAATACACACTAGCAATAATTTACCCACCTGTGGTATATGTGTGTTTATGGACTCTTTGCATAGTAAATTTTGGTATGAGGGTGGTTGGAGGGCACCACTGGTAAGTCCTACTTCTTTTCTTTCCCTCTAGTGTTTCTGTCTTTCTTGCTTGCTCTTTCTGGGCACTTAACGGCCATCAGTGTGTCGATGCACTTCTCTTTATGCACTCAAGCCTTTGGTGTCAGACTAGGCACTGTGTCTATAGGGCTGTAAAACTCTATTCATATGATCATCTTCCCCTGTGTTTATGTGTAATTATCGAGAGAGAGAGAGAGATGTGAGTGTGTGTGTGTGGGGGGGGGGGGGGGGGGAACATGATTATTTTATTCACATGAGAGAGAGGGGAGGTGAGGCGGGAGGGAAGGAAGGAGGGAGAGATCTTTTTGGCTTTATTCTTTTTTGTAGCAGCTTTCGTCCCACTGCCAAAGTTTGCATTGTGTATGTTTTTGTGATCATATAGAAATACACCAGTCAGCCTAGCTATTTTATGTTTTAATTACGTTAGTTATTGTTTTTAGCTGCCGCATCTTTGAACTGCCTTGTCAACTGCCTTGTCAACTGGATTGATAAAAGACTTTTGTTTTATTATCCACGAATGATAAACTTTTGGGTTAGTTGCCCAGGGGGTTGAAAGGCACCCTTTGTCGGTCCTACTTCTTTTCTTTCTCCCTCTTGTTTCTGTATGTCTGTTTTGCTCCCCCCCCCCCTCGCACACACACACACACACTCACACATACACACACACACACAACTCACAAAATTTGCATTGTCATGTTCATGTACTTCTCATTCTTCGAAACACAGTTTTTTAAAAACTGCAATGTCCTTGAACTGTCTTGTCAGCTAGGTTTGTAAAAGCCTTCCTTTTTGTCTATAACTGATGTCTTTAAACTTGCGATGAGTTGATGTCAATCTCCGATGTCTTTGAACCAGTTTCTGTTGTGCATCAGATAGGTATTTTGCTATCACACACAGAAGACCCAAGTTTGATTCCTGTAATGGTAGAATTTTTATCATGCACCTTGGTCTCACTGCTGGGAAGTTGTATCCCTCTCAGCCTAGGTTGGCTCTTATAGGCAGGGTAAAAACCTGCATCCTAAATGTTCTAAATTGTATCAATGGAGGGATAAAATCACCTTCTTATGAAAGAATGCTGTTGATGTCACAAGTCTGTGGAAAAAATGACCATCATTGTGTCTATGTGCTTCTCTTTACTTGAATAGTAATATTCATTTGATGTGATGTAAACGACAGTTTCATTTTTTGTGTGTATTTGTGTCTGTGCACTTAGATAGTCTCTTATGTAATTTGTTTGACCGGTTTGTTTTGCTTTCACGTTATAGATGTTTGGATGGAAGTTTTTGTTCTTTGATCTAAAATTTTTTATTTTTTAAAATTGTTGTCATATGTTGCAGCATTTTATTGTCTTATGTGTTTTTCCCAATGGTATCTTTTCATATTTTGCACTGTCTTACTTCATGTTTGATCTGTAGTGAACATTTTGTTGTTAGCAAAAAGGTACTGTCTGTTTTGTGTGAGTGTCCTTTCATTTGGCATGTGTAGTGGATATGGTATATGATTGGTTTGAGAGTAATGCCCATTGTCATGAGTCAGATATGACTCACGGTTTAATTGTCTTTGTGTCTTTATATCTATTTTAGATAAGGTTAAAGAGATTTGTTTTTCTGGTGGAATTGTCAGTGGTTAGGTGGTCTTGTGGTGTTGTATGTGTGGTTGGAGGGCGTCACTGACTGGTAGTAAAAGATCCTACTTATTTTCTTCCTTATGTCCATCTGACATCATCATCATCATCATCATCATCATCATCATCATCATCATCATCATCATCATCATCATCATCATCATCATCTTCATCAGTCCCATAGTCTTGTCCACCGATGCAGTGTCACTAATTACTTTCCCTTAATCTCACTCCTTTCCTTTCCGTTGTTGGACTTGTTCATAGCCTCATCCTTTTCAGGTCTGGTCTGTCCACTCTCAGATGTTCCTCTCCTCTCTTTCTCTCAGCCTTCTCCTTCTGCCATCTTGTCCTGGACCTTGCTGCTCAGTCTGTGATAGTCCACATAATGTGTCTCTTTGCTTAAACAAAAAACAGATGTGTCCCCAACAGATTTAAGAGACATCAGAGTCAGTCATAATTATTCTGTTGCATCTTTTTTGCGACTTAAAGAAGTTAAATCTTGTTAAGGCTACTGCCTTCTAAACAGTTGATGTTGTTGAAGTTTAATGCTCTCCTAGACACCATTGGGGTAGTTTGAAGAGTGGGATTCTCAAATCTCCTACAGGACTTTGCGCTGACTGAGAAAGTGAGTTTGATTTTGTTTCCCACAAGGGGAAGGCTATGTTTATCGAGAGGATCTCTGTTTTTCTGCTGGGATCTTGCCATGACAGCCTGGTAGTCCCAGGGGTTGGTTGAAGGGTGCTGCTGGAAGGTCACTCTTCTTTTCTTCCCCGCTGTTGTTTTTGTCTATCTTTTTGCTTTTTGCTGTTTCCCAGAAGTAAATAACCGTTTTATCTTGTCTATGTGCTTCTTTCTCTTTAGTGGGTGGTTGGCGGGTGCTGTGGTCTGGTTTGCTCATTCTTTCCTGTCAGACATCCATCGTCCTTATCCCTCCTCAGTTTTTGTGTTTGTTACTCTCTTTTAACACCTCTAATCTTCAGCACTTATATGACTTAATTGTATTGCAAGTGCTGTAAAACTCTTCCTAAAACTAAAGCTCCTCTTTATTCAAACTAGTTGTCTAAACTGTGTAAAAATAAAAATGGGTTAACATTTTAAAAACAATAATTCATATTTTTTGTGGTCAGGCTCAGAACCAGAGCAAGGCGGGCTTCTCACTCTCCGGCATGAAGTCCAAACTGTTTGGGGCAGACACTCCTGAGCAGAGAGAGGCCAAACTGAAGCAGCTTGACCAGCAGATTGCTCAGGCTGAGACAGATCTCAAGCGGGTTCAGGAAGAGGCCGAGTGAGTATGGTGGGGAGTGGGTCAGGGGTCACCCATGTAAGTGATGGAAGCAATTTTGTTGGCAGGTCTCCTACTTCTTTTATTTCCCTCTGTTGTTTCAATCTTTGTCTTGCTCTTCCTAAAGTTTAACGTGTTTGTTTTTTTAACCTGTGGCCTGTGGGTGATTGGAGGGTACGGCCTGTAAGTTCTTCTTAACTTTCCCTCTGGTGTTTCCATCTGTTTGTCTTGCTTTTTTTCTCAGCACTAAGTGTCCATAGCGGGTGGTTGGTGGGTGCTCTAGTGTGGTTTGCTCCTTCCATCCTAGCAAAAATCTACCATCCTGATCCCTCCTTCTTTTTGTGTATTTTGTTACTTTCTTGTATCTCCTCTAATCTTCAGTGCTTATATGACATTGTGTTGGAGAGCTCTCCATGTATTTCTGTCCTTAGCTAGATAGAATCCACCTCTGTCCAGATGTATTTAATCTCCTTTAGGCCCGATTCCAAATACTTTTAGACCTACCTGTCTTTCTCTTTCCACGTGGAATCCATCTTAAGACTGGGGGTAATGTTGTTTTCGGTTTTCTCAAGGTGTGTCCAGTTCATTTCCATTTTCTCTTTCTGATTTCTGTGTCTATTTATAGCCAAATTAGTTTCTTTGGGCAAAAGGAAAATCATGGGAAATTCAGGTTCACACTAATTGCTTTTCGTTCAATATTTTGTTGCCTGTTCTGAAGTATCTTTTTGAGCTCAGTGTCTAATGTTCAGTAGGTTTTTAAAATTAAGAAAGCAGAAAGATTTTCATCTCCAACAATCAAAGTAACAGATACAGTAGATCATGACTATAGCGGCTCCTGCTACAGTGGGACAATCCCTACAGTGGGACCTTACCGGGATCCCCGTTTTTTTTCTGTTAACTCAATTACCTGTGCTCGGGTTTAGCGGAGCAAGGAAAAGCCCAAACTCGGATACAGCGGGAGAGATCGAGCAAGCTCTAGCTGGGGGGAAGGGTTTTGGGGGGCTAAGGGAGGGCTCCAAACAGGCAGTCTGCGGTTCGGCGTTATGATTAGCCAGTCCAGTGATGAGTGAGGTGGGACGGGCGGCAGACAGATGGTTCGGAGAGACGCGTTACGTGAGCCACTCCAAATTGAAAAGTGATGTGCCGTAGCTTAGAGGCTCAGTATGAGAGCGTATAGGCCATAGCCCTAGGCCTAGGCTAGGCCAAAAAGTTAAAAAAGGGGAGAGCTTGTAGAATGTTATTCCTGATTCATTGAATTGCGGTCGTTGATGCTCAGAGGCATACACACGCATCCTCTTCACAAGTTATCTACAATAGGCCTACTGGTACAATAGACAGCACAAGCAATGAGACAGAGGAAAAGACGGCTTCCAACTAAGACAAAAGGAAATGCTTCTCACTAGAATTAAAGGCAGAGATAATCGACAAAGTTGACAATAAAAGGAAGACTAATCTAAAGTACAAATTTTATTGATATGGAAGGGAGGTAATCATGTGGATTTTTAGAAAATTTCAGGTAATTTCCCCTTTGCATTCCTATAGCGGGAACTCGCCTACAGCTGGATTTTTCTTCTGGAACCAAAAGTCCCGCTATAGCCGTGTTCCACTGTACTATTGTATGTCTATTACGGATTTATTCTTCCACTGAAGCCCTTGAAATAATCTGTTTTGCATCTTGTGAGGCTTTTATGATTTCTACTAAAGGAGTGGAAATTATTATTTCTGTCTAGCAGGGCTATTATATTAATTACTTGCTCTGAAAAGAAGGAGCAAATTCTTTAAGTTTTCTGAACAGGTGGTTGGAGGATGCCTCTGGTAGGTCTTTCTTTTTTTTTCCTACTGTCATTTCTGTCTTATTTTCCTATTTTTTGTCTACTCGAAATGACTATTATTGCATTGATGTGTATCTTTTTACTTTCAAAAACAAAACAATAATTAGCTCTTGTCTCTCTCACACCACCCCAGGCTGTACACGGGTCAGTCGTTGCGAGACATTGACCGATTCCAGCGACAGAAGACCAAAGACCTTCAAGAGATCTTCACCAACTACGCCGTGCTGCAGATTAAGCAGTGCAAAAAGGTCAGGGACAGAGTAGCTCAGTGGGTGATTGGTGGGTGCTCTCGTATGGTTCGCTCCACATGATTTACCGGAGTCCAGTTTAGACAAGATATCACTTAAAACTTGGAAGATTTTGTAAAGGAGATTTGTTGAATGGAAATTGTAACAAAAAGTGCTAAATAGAGAGAAGTCAAATGTTGGAACAAATCTCTGAGTATGCTCAAATTGTTTTTTGTAAACCTTAATGCAAAAATAGATTTCAAGTACAAATTGAAAATGTTCATTTCGTTGTTCAGAAATATTTTTCACTGTAGTCACTTTTCTGCTTATTCTCACAAAATAATAAAAGAAAAATATTTTCTGGCAGTGCTTTGCAGTGCTGTGGTTGTATCATCGCTAAGCTGAGAGTACTTTCCTGTGACAATATCACCTGATATACCTGTGTTGAAGTAATATAAGATCATTGATTCCAGCATGTTTTGTCCCAAAATAGTTTAAAGGCAGTAAAGATTAAAGGTCCCTCTAGCAATCTTATTCAAACAAAACAAAAATCAGAAGTTCAAATATTGGAGACAGTCCTATTTGCCACAGAGAACGTCATGTTGAGAACCCTGTTGTTAAACTGCTGTCATTTCTTTCACCTCTCATTCAAACTCTCTCCTTTTTCAGGGTATTGCTATCTGGACCAGTGCCAAGGACTGTTTTAGTAAGATGTAACTCCACCGACAAGATATTGTCAGATCGAATGCAAGGGAAGGATGTGGCATGGATGGCAGAGAGGAGATCTGGCATCAAGCACAGAAATGAGATGTCACATCATCAGACTAAACTTACAGGACAACGACAGTTCGATGGACACAAGATATATCTGTGATGGTTCACTGGAAGCTTCTGTCTTGGAAGAAACCATATTAGAGTGGTGCAATTATTTATAATGAGCTGTGTGTACTTGGGTTTTATTTTCGTTTTCCAGACTTACGCTGGTGTTTATGGTCGCTTCCTACATTGTAGTAATATCTCCCCCGTCCCTCCTCCCCCCCCCCCCCCTTTTCCAATGTCATGCTGTCATGTTGAAAAACTTAATGAAGCGGACACAGTATGCTGACAGACAAGGTATTCCGTCTTGTCGCTTGGGCCACCACTGATTGTTGATATTGACTGCAATCACATTTTTTTCTACACATGGCCTAATTTTCTTTTTTTCAGTTTCATTCTGCTTCTATGTTGCCAATGCATTCTTGTGTTCACCACATATCAGGATGATGTGTCTCTCTGGCTGTAACTTATGCCTCAGATCTCAAAGGAGGATGATCATTTTGTAGTGGCATTTACAGTAAACCAGATGTTTTGACAAGCGCTAAGTTGTCATATGGTAACCCCAATATAACAAAGTGCTATCTCATTTACATTCTCCTTTGAAATATTTGAGTTTATAATTTTCCCACACCATATCTTCTTTAAGTGAAGAACAAAGTTGACATGATTTTATCTCAGACAGTAAAGGAATGGGAGTTTTAACTTTTATATATGGTGTAGAGGGAGTTCACAGGGAGGCCTCGGACACTGCAACTACAAGCACTAAAAATTTAGAGTCAAAACCTTTTTATTCTAGGGTTGCAACTTATCGCTGTTGTAAGTCTCTCCCTTTAGTTGTGTGGTCATTGGATGTTGATATTTGACTCTTAAATGAAGAGACACCATGTGTACGTGGCGTCGGTGGCCTAATGGTTAGGCGACCGGACTCGTAATCGTGAGGTTGCGGGTTCGGGGGTTCTAGCCTTTCCATTAAATTACTTTACAACAACGATGTTTTGAGATAAGGTTTACCAATGAACATAATAGTTTGCACATAAAGACCCTTTGAGATAAAAACACATTTTTTTGGAGGGAGGTTTATAAGTCTATATGAAAATCCTGCAACACGTGCAATAATTGAAGGTACTTTTTTCGAAAAAATATTTGTTCTCACTTTGTATAACATTTAGTACAAAGTGAAGTCAACTTTATTTCATTGTTATACAGAGATAATGGAGCTGTGTACTTATTGAATGTTTTATGTAGATATTTGGAATGTCACTTTTAGTGAACATGCTTTGAATTCTTGGAAAGTAGGATAATAATTCACTCCGCCCTTTATTGTTTGTTATGATGTTGACGTTTCTTTCACTACAAGTTGAGGGACCTAAAATGTTAACTATATTATGTTGTGCAGGACATGAAAGCCCACTAGTGGCCAAAACGTTTTTCTGGACTTGTTATTTATTTTGTCTCATCATCATATCCTGTATGGATTTTGGATTTTTTTGTTAACATTCTTTGTTATCGGTTGTTTTGTTGAGATTTTTTAAACGTTTTTTTTTTCTTTAGTTTGCAAAACTGTGCTCATTACACAAACCACTGTGCAATACATTCCTTGGAAGGGCTAAAGAAAACAATTATGTACAGCAAAGATATTTACAATGGTGTTATAGTATAGTGTATATTTTTGCCATCTTGGCTTGTCTCGGATGATGTTCTTGTGCACTTTTACCCCCTCAGTTCTTTCTTTTTTGTTGTTGTTGTTGTTATTTTTGACATTACTATCTCCCTTTCATCATTTGTCAACTTCAAGAGAAAGATTTTTATTTATTCTTGGGTTTGGGTCTTGTTCCAGTTAAACCACCCCCTCCCCACCCCTCCTTTCCTTTTTAAAATGTTTGCGCTAACGGTAGCTGTTTTGGGTGGTTGGTGGGTGTGCTTGCGCAGTCTGCTTGTTCATATTTTCAGTGTGTTTTTAGGCTCTGAATGTTCTTTTGATGAAATGATATCTCTGACCTCGGGCACGAGTGGTTGGAGATAGCCACTAGTAGGTCCTACCTCTCTACTTTGTCTTTGTTCTTTCTGTCTATTAGCCTTATTTTTTTTCCTAACTCTAAACTTTAGTGTTATTTCTTAAACAGCTGTGAGGACTCTAGCCTACTCTAGATCTAGAACACAACAGTTCAAGTCGTTGTTTTAGCACAGGACCATGCTTGTTCCATCTTGGTAGTGGCCGGCTTGTTTATTTTTCCAGTGGTCTTCCTTGACATATGTGGCACGACGCTGTGGAATCAGGCTCTTGTCCATTTTGGGGCGTACGGAGTTGATGGTATCATCTTAAGGCCTGTCCATTTTGACATTTTCCTTGTTTTGGGTGAAAATAATATCCATCTGTTGAATAAGTCGAGATATGTGTAATTGAAGGAGGTGACGGTCATCGGGTTTCGTAGGTAAAATTGGCGAGAAAATGGCCACCAAAGTTGAGTTATTTGTTTAGCTTGAGAGTCCACGGAAACTGAAAATTTACATTTTATCTGCCTTTAACCAACGTTTTTCTGTAAGGTCAACACAGAAATGTGCTCTTTAATGGACATGAAAGGTGTTGAACCAAGAAACAAAAATCCGATGAAAATTCCCAAACCTGCGCTGAAAATGCCAATTTCCTGATTTTCATTATTTTGATGAGCGCCTGATTTCACCGCCCTGCCTCACATATGATCAATTCTGTCTATCTGTAAGTGAAGGTAGTCGTTTGGTAACATTACATCCCCCTTTCAAAAGTGATTTTTTTTTCATTTCAACATTTGCTCTTCATGAGTCTGCTGAGTCTGAGTTTGTAAAAGTTCTCCAAAAAGTCTTTTTTTCCCAGTTTTATTGTCTTTTCCTCTAGCTTCTTCATGTTATGCATGTAATGAACACTGGCACTTTTGATGTATCGGTGAGGTGCTCTGCATGTGTGGTGAAACGGTAAGTTGCTTTACACAGTTACATATGTGGTCTCTGCTCTCTTTTCTATCATGGTACTATTGACATTTCCATCTCTGTTATAAGAGACATATCAATGTTTTGTTCTGGGATGTCATGATCACTTAATCAGTTTCTATTTGGTGGGTCATTTAATATTTGCTTTATGTTCTTGACATGCCATTTCAAATAGTGGCGTGCTGCTTCTTTCCAAGTTTTAACAGTAGCCTGCCATTACTGATTTTTATTTAGAGACAGCGATATGCTCCGAGACACTCCTCAGTGACCACCCATCTCAGAGCCACAGCATCGATATTGCTTCAAACATGCATCCACTCTTCACTTAATTACATTTCACTCTTAACTTAAGTATGGCACTGGCGATGTAGGGGTTATGTGCTTCGCTATCACGTGCAGAACACTCGAATTTGATTCCGACTGGGGAGAATCTGTATCGAGTGTCTGGGTCTTTCATCTGGGGCACTTGCCCTGATGGATTTGAAACCTCCATCTTAACTGATTCTGTCCATTCGGCCGCTGACAGCGGCTCTGAGTTTTTCCGCTGCGTCCATTCGGCCGCTGTGAGCGGCTCAACGAAATCCGAAACAAAGGTGCACTTTTTAACATAGTTCCAACTTTTTAAGTTGTCGAAAGGAAGTAGAACTTGTAAACAAACCTGACCTCAATCTCTGAGCGCCAATATCGATCGAAACTCCGCGAAATTCTTGCAAAAATCGTTGTTTTGTTGTTGCGATGTAGGCTAGATCTAAGGGTAAACAACACGGAGCCTGGTATAATAGAAAGGCTCTTCAAAGAAAGATATTCAACTAAATTTGTGAAATTCTTGCATAAATGTGTGCTAGGGTGATATCGCTACAATGTTGTGTTGATTCCTATGGATTATAAGGACTTGTAGAGCTGAGAAAATGCGGTAAGTCGAAATTTTCGAAGAGCTGTTGCGCAATTTTTTTTTCTCATTCGTTTTTGTCAGAAGGAAAATGTAATACAAACAGATTATAGGTCATTGTTATTGATATAAACAGATTTTTCTATTTATTCCCATCAGTTTGGTATATGACAATACCTATTAGAGTGACTTAGAGCTTCACAGTAATGCATTAAATAGATGCACCTCAGGTCTAAAACTGAGCAGGGAAAAATAACTCTGTCCAGAGCCTGAAAAAATCATGGACGGAATCAGTTAAGTTTGATTGCAAGCTTGGCACCTGGCTGGATTTTATTCTTGCATAGTCTCCATGTGTTCAATTGTTTTTTTCATCTTTGGCTCTTCGTAGCTTTTGACCCTGTCTGTGCCCAAGCTTTCTCTTTACCTGTTGCTGCCAAAAGCGCTCTAAAACTCTTGATTGGAGGTGTCTTTTTCAGTGTCAACTACTCCTTCTGATGAATTTTTTTTACCCTTGAAACAAAAATGCGTTATGTGAGATGTGAGTGAATCTTGATCAACCTCTGAAACAAATGCAAGAGGTTGGTGGGTGCTCTGGTGTGGTTTTCTCCTTCTTTCTTACCATCGTTACTTCTCCTTTTTTGTGTTTGTTATTCTCTTGTAGCGATTCTAATCTTGGGCATTGATATGAATTCATTGTGTTGTAAGTGCTGTAACATGCTTACCAAAACGTGAACCTGTAGCTGTCCTTTATAATGCATGCATGTGGTGTGAATCTGATGACCCAGATGTCTAACAGGTTGACAGTCTGAATGGTTCAACAGCGTCTGTGGTGTAATGTAATGGTTAACTCTTTAATGTTACAAATAAAAGGTGTGTGATTTCTGTATGGGATATTCTGTTTTATCGAATATCTCGGTGTTTCTGCAGGGATGCTGCCTCACGTACATTCAGCTGGGTTTGGCCCTGACAGACACAGTGGGAGCAGCGTGCCCTGTAAATTATTCAAATGATGTAGTGTCAGTGAGGATGTTGAACATTTAAACTGGATGTTTAATCTCTCAATGTTGTTGTGTGGTGCTTATATGACAAAAGTTGGGTTGTTTGAGCCGTAAAACATCTACTCAATCAATCAGTCAATCAATCGGTGTTTTTGTCGGTGCGGCTGTATGGCTTTTTGTCAATGCCCACTGGCACTGTAATCCCACGCTAATATAAGAAGGTACAAAGACTGCTTTGTAGAAGTATTGTAACCATTCACATTGGATGTTTGTATATTGTGCTGTATCGGATTAGTAAGTAGCCTGTAAGCTGTTGCGAAAATTTTGTACATGATGCCAATGCAAGCCGTGCTCAACATGCTTTTCTAATCTGTGTTCATTGATTGTTTTTATTTCTGCCCGTGATAGTACATGAGCACATCTATTATGTTTGGTATGTAGATAGGGCTGAGGGTATGTGTGGTATATTTTAAGTGTGCAAATTATATAATTATGATAATAGATTGCATTTGTATAGCACTCTATCCCATACAAGTATAAGCTCTGAGTGTAGTGTTGTCATATCAAAAATGTTAGTTGAGTTTGTATTTGAGCATGTTTATTAAGATATTAATACTGGTATTAAGTTGAACTTGCATCAATGTAATTTATTTCTAATGCCGAGAGTAGATATATCGCATCATTGTATCATCCATGAAAGTTGCAAACTGAGAAAAATCCATATGGAAAATGAAGGGCACGGGATGATGATAGCTTCACACAACTGCTTGAAGATTGAGGAAACCTATGTTGTGTTGAAAAAATAGCTATGGACTGTATTTCCATTGCAGTGGTTAAAAACCCAAATGTGGACTAGTGACGAGATAAAGCAAAGGAAATGAAGTGTAGAAAAAGAAGAAAAGATTCAGAAAAAAAAATTTGGGTGAAAGCGAGAGAAAAATGGAATGAAAGTATTTGGAACAATGATGGAGTGAAGAGCCATTGAAAATGGAGTGCCCTCAACTCATGCTGCGCTGCTTATCTGTGCAATCTTTTTTCACTGGTATTTAATTTGCAGTTCTATTACGATTTATTGTTCATTGAAGAATGTAGATTTCTTAATTAGAGAAAGGGTTCCATATGGAGTTGATTGATGTTTACAAATGTATGCTTATGACTGTGTGTTCACAAGACTTTTCTTTTTACCTTTTTCTCTACCATTTTCCCTATGTTCATTCAATTACATTCATTAAAACACCTCTTTCGCCCTGCCCGCCCCCCCCATCATGAACAATAAAGAATGATGAAAA